AAGAAAATCATGTTTCGTTAGTTTTATGTAGTAACTAAACATACTATAGGAAAAAAGAAAATTGAAAGTTGGTCGATCGATTTGAACTAAGACTCATTGTTTAGTCCATTTTGATTTTTTTCAAATTCAGCTCAACTAACTTATTTGATACATCCAATATAGTTTTTGACATTTATATCCAAAAATTCAGTTGTTCCTATTATTCTAGTCTTTCGTAATATTCTTCCAAACTTGTTTATATAAATTTTCATCAAGATTTAATTCTTTCAAGGATCATTTATTCATCGAGACTTAGTTTTTGAGCAATTGGAGTCGCTTGATTTCAAGAATTGTTTGTTAATTGAAGACTTCGAGGTGATCTGCTTGGCTGATCCGTCGCAGTTTTGAATCCTATTATATCTTTATTTTTATTTTGTCTTTTCTATTTCGAGACAGTTTTATTGAGACATTATTAGATTTATATTCATATTTAAAGATTTTTGTACCTATGACACTAGGGTTTTGGGATGCACTAGTTCCTTTTTCGCTATTTATGAATAGAGGCGTATCCAGGAGGGGGTCAATGGGTTCACGTGAACCCATGCTCCCCTTCTGAAGTCATATATAGTAGTGTTATATTTTTTTATAAAATATTTAAATATAGATATGTGAACCCACACTTGAAGTATCATACCGTATGATTATGATTGGGTGCACCTCTCTAAGTGAGGTTAGAAATTTGAATCTTTTATTTATCTTGTTTTATTTTCCTTTCTAAAATTGGGTAATGTCTCTCTAAGTCACTAAAGTGGTTTGGATAGGTAAAAATAACTTTGGACCTATATTTTTAAAATTTCAATTATTTTTAGTGATAAGAACTTAAATGTTAAACCGATCAAATTTATATCTTAAATTCACCTTTTCATAATAGTGCACCCATCATCTCAAAATCCTGAATACGCTTCATTTTCATTCATTATGAGGAAAGATAAAGAATGGTAAAAGAAAACAAATTGAAATGCCAAAGTGATAAATTCATACGTGGCAACAAATTATAACACTACCAAAAAACTATGCTATAAATTAAATTTATAACACTCCATATATAATATATCGAAATTGTATATACACATGGAAAGGCGAAGGTCTCAAATTGGACATTTTAATAGGATAGATCACGTAAGTTTTAAGACATGAGGCGAAAATACCATGAATCTTTAATTTTTGCGAATTTTTTTTTATATTTTATTAGAATATGTAAATTATGAATTAAGAAAAATCAAGATTATAAAATTTAGAAGTTAAATAAAGTACTGAAAATTTTATATAAAGTTCAAACACTACTAAGAATGATACAAAAAATTTAAAATAACGTAATGTATACATACATCATGTATACTACTACTTTTTTATTCTTCTTTCCCTATATTTGCTATACTAAAAGAAATGTTTTTGCATCCTTTGGCCAATCTTCAAGGCTTCAAATTAATTTTTCATTTTCTCGATTCTTTCTGCAAAAATAGAAGATAATAACGTATTAGAAAATAGAAACAAAAATAACATTTTTATAATCAGGTCAATTATATGATAACTAACTACAATATGTTAATTTCTATAATAAACATTAATCAATAGTTTTATAATAATAATAATAACAATAATGGTGGGTGAAGTAGCTAGTCATTGCACAATTATAACGTATGATAAACGTTAGTATGTTACAATAGGCAAAACTACAAAGTTAATGTAAATATCCTCTAAGTTCTCGATGTATATAACTAATTAAATTTTAAAAAAATAACATGTTAAAACTATAATAAAATATTGTGTAAAAATCCTTTAATTTGTATTGTCATATATATAATTCTTAATTTAAAAAAACATTACCGTACTTTATATAACGTGTTAAAATTATATAGGAAAAAGACAAATATACCTCTGAATTATCGTAAATGGTATGCAGATACCCTCTGTCATACTTTTGGGATATTGGTGCCCTTGCCATCCAAAACTAGAGCATATATGCCCTTCACTCTAACGGAAGACTAAATAAGGACACATGGCGCGATCTTATCCGTCGATCCAATATTTAATAAATGTTGGGTCATTGGATAAGATTATGACACATGTATGTCCATTAGTATAAAGGGTGTATATGCTCTAGTTTTTGTACGGCAGGAGTACCAATGTCCTAAAAATATGACGGAAGATATCTAAAAACCATTTATGATAGTTCGGGGTATATATATCCTTAAATATTTACCTTTGAGCAACTTAGCACTGCATTCAGTGTCACATTTCATCTCACAACGAGTGTATCCAAATCCTTCATTAGTGCATTCCTTTTGACAATCATTGTAGCAATCTTTATATTCATTTGCCACAATTTCAAATGATTTTTTAAATTCTTCTGCTTTATTTTCTTCATCAGCCATGGATGAAGAAATCACAATAATGCAAACAAAAAACATTGCCATAAGCTTCTTTGATGCCTCCATTTTATTTTATTTTGTAATATGTGTTTCACTTTTCGTTTTTCGATATTTTTTTTTGTTGTTATATATGTATATTTTGTGTGTATATTTGATTAATGCTATTGAATCTTCTATAGCAAAACACTACCTCAAATTTAAGTGGTTGATAACCAATTTTGTAGGAAATTTCTGGTTGTGCTTGTGTTTTTTTCTTCTTCTTGTTTTTGGTTGGTAATGAAGAGTTAGTTTACTAAAAAGTAGGAATTATTATAAATTATTGAAACTACACTTTCAAAAATAAGGTCACCATTGAAACTTACTTTCCGTGACAACAAGGGTTCGCCACTAATAAAATTAATGGAGAGACTATATATCTAATTATTCAAATATTTCAATTATATTTACTAGTTCTATCTATAGTTTGAAATAATTATATCTTATATATCACTAATTAATAATTTAATACTAAATTTCAAGTAAGATACACTCAAATATGTGTTTTTGCATACAGTGAAATAGAGAGAGACGAGCGAGAAAAATTTGTCTATATATGTATTACAAATACAAGTGAATCACAGTATACACATGTATCTATATGTTTCTGGTGTGATTTGAATGTATCTAGGATACCAGATATGAAAGAGAGTAGCCGGTGAGATGGGAGCAGGGGCGGATCTATAGTGTGTCCGGGGGGGTCATCCGACCCCCCTTGGAAAAAAAATTACACTATATATATAAGATCAATTTTTTTGTGTACGTGTATATATTTAAAATTGAACTCCCTGAGCATATGTCAAAGGAGTAGCTCAATGGTTTATGGGGGTCAGGATCTCGCCTATGTGAGCTTTGGGTCACGGGTTTGATTCCAGGCAACAACATTTTTTTTATTTGAACCCCCTTGATAGAATTCCTGCCTCCGCCATTGGACGGGAGGGAGGCGAGAAAGATTTGTCTACGTAATCCAGATACATGTACTTGGGATACCAGATATGTAGAAGAGTGACAAGCGAGATGGCAGGGAGGCAAGGGAGATTTGTGTATATATCCAATATACATGCGAATCAACTTAACTAGCTACAGTATATCTGGAACAAATTACATCTAATTTTAACTCATGTATCCCAAGATACATGTATATGGACGCATCAAAATCTAGTAAAATTCGTAATATTGCAAACTAACGTAAGTAATTAGCCCCTAAACTAGTGAATTTCTATAAGTTTCCCGTCATTTATTTATCTTAAAAATGAATTGACATGTATTCCTACGGCATCGCCCAAAATATCAACATTATAACAAGTACACTTAAAACAAAATGACATGGAACTTTTCGTTACCAAAATACTATACCAGTGCTAAGAGAGATTGGACTAATCCCTATCGAGACAACATAAAGTACTGTCCAATGGGTCAGCACCTCCGAAAGAAATGGAGGACTTCATTTAGTGACCTCGTGAGTCGTGATTTCCCTTTGAACGATTAGAATAAGGTAAAGCTTGAAGATAAGTTTTGTACTCAATTAATTTCTCAGTCTCCCTAATTGGGTGGGCGCCGATCGATTTTTCAACCAGATCCCCCTAAAAACCGTTACATTATAGTTTGTTTATATATACGAAAAAACAATAGCAAATGTCTTGAAACTCCTCGGTCAACATCATTTTCCTTTAATATATATATATATATATATATATATATATATAAGGAAGCGTGAATCTTACATATAATACTTTCTTTGTCTCAAATTAATAGTCACTTTAACAGTATATTAGAAACAACTTTTCTATCTTTTTTCCAGATCCCACTTACGGAATTATGCTGGGTTTGTTATTGTTTTAGCTCAAACTATTATGCCAAAATGATTATCATTTTAAGAGTAAAGTTGGCGTTGTTGTTTTTACTGTACCCTTAATATTAATCTCTAAAATAACTTGTTTCCAATCAAAACGATCTAGAAAATTTTCTGATGTAGTGGTTTCGACCTCCTTATTACTCTTTATAGTGATACTTCTTAAATATTTCAGAACATAGAGACATTAATGTATATCAAAGGAATATAAAATTCACTATCATAAAAATAACTTTTAGCGGCAATAAATAGACACATTAATAAAGAGTTCTAAGGTCTTTACCAACATTAGTTAAGTGTCATTAGATCCAATGTCGCTAAAAGTTTTACGGACATATACAAAGAGTGTTAATTGCCGCTAAAAATACATATTTAACGACAATTGAGCTATTATCGTTAATTAATTGTCGCTAAAGATCATTTTTGATGTACTGATTGCCCAATATATATCAAGAAGATTAAGAAGACATAAAATAATTATTTAAAAAAAAAAAAAAAAAAAAACTAAATTGCAATTGACTCGAGAGAAACAACAGTAATTAGAAAAAGAAACAATTTTTATTGAATCTTATAAATTATACAAATACAGTGGTAATTAATTAATTAATTAGTAGAAATAATTTCTTTTAAAAAAAAACCACTGTTTTTTTTTATTCTCTTTTTCCCACTACATTTGCATCCTTTGGTCCATTTCCAAGTCTTTAATTCTTCATGTTTTGGAGTCTCTCTGCAAAAAAAATAAAAAATAGAACATAAATAGCGTGTTATAAAATCATAACTAACATATACGTTAAACAAAAAGTGATTCTAAAAATAAGCAGAATAGAGATACGTTCGTATTATACCTTTGAGCAATTTAGCGGTACAATCTTCGTCACACTTCATTTCACAATGTGTGTATCCGAATCCTGCATCGGAGCATACTTTCTGACAGATATTGTAACAAACTGTGTATTCAGTTGCAGCAACGGTGAATGCTTTTTTGAATTTTTCTGCGTTACTTTCTCCGTCAGCCATGGAGACGTGTACGGATGAAGAAATCATGACGATGCAAACGAGAAACACTGCAACAAGCTTCTTTGATGCCTCCATTTCTATATGTGCTTTTGCTTTACGCTTGAATTTTTTTAAATTTTAAAAAAAATTAATGCTTGTTGCTTGTGTTTCTTTTCTTTTTTTTTTTTGGACGATTTGATTATGTTTTTAATTCTCTTATTTATAGAATTTTAGGTTGAGAATACACTTCAAATTAATGAGTGAATATCCAATTTTGTAGGATATTTGTGGTTGTGACGTTGTGTTTGTTTTTAATGAAAAGAAATTAGAGTGGTGAGAATCGTTCAACAATTTTTAGTTGAAGAAATTGGAGTCGTGAGAATCGACGTTCAATAGATTTTTAATTACTTAATAAAACTTATAATTGATTCGCAAAACATGTTAATATAACGGTGTTTTTAAAAGGCGGAAGCATGAGTCAGAGCGTAGATGGCAAATCTTATGAATCTTTAAGTTTTACGAAAAAATCAAAATATAAAATTTAGAAGTTAAATGAAGTGCTGAAAATATTACTAATAATATAAATTCTAAAGTTCTACGCAAACATGAATAATATATATAGTTATACACGAACATCCCAAGAATCCAACCATTAAAAGAAAATAAATAGTCTTGGAATAAAATGTCATAAACACCTCTTCATAGGGTATGTATTATTTGGATTAAATGGAAAAATTGAATTGAATTTTAATTTGGATTAATTTATTGGTATGGATTCAGATAAGTTATTAAGTATTTAAAAAAGTTGTGGTAAAATCTTAGATTTAACTCTTATTGACTGAATTTAGATGTAAGTCGGGATGACGAACTTAGTTCATCATTATGAATAACCTTACATACTTTAGTGATGAATCTCGAAGAAAAATCTTGGAAGATGAAGTGTGGAGAAGAATCTTGGATTGAAAATGTCACGCCCCGAGCTACCCCCAAGACGCGGACACGGGACCTAGGACCACAAGTGATCCCAAGCTAACCCTGCTGGCATGATCATGAGCATACTAAAGATAATAAACTGATGCGGAAGCTAATTCATAATTAAATCTGAAAAGATGGGGAATACCCATATACTATAACTGTATATATGAAATCTGAGAGTTTAATACAAAAGAAATATCAAACTCAAAACACTAAGCTGAATCTAACTATGTCTGAAATAAGCCTCTAAACTGACTAGAAATGTTAGGACATGCCCCAACTAGGTCTAGCAAAACTGAAACTAAAGACTAAAAGTGATAAAGATAAACATGTCACTAGTCCTCGAAGAATGAGGACTCGCCACTGATGCTGCTGAACTGAAGATCGAGAATCGATCTAAGCGTGATCTGGATGCTGAGAACCTAAACCTACATCACGAGAAGATGTAGCGCACGTATGCGTCAGTACTTGAAAGGTACTGAGCATGCAGGATGGAGTAAAGCTGAAATAACATATAACTGAACAAAGCATACTGAGCAATGATATAATCTGAACATGATATAGATACTGAATACTGAGCTAACTGAATGCAATGACCAATTTATAACATGCTGACTGAATACTGAATGAACTGTAAATGTGGTCAATGCAATAGAGTCTGACTGAACTGTGGAAGCTACTAATAACCGACATAAAACCACATGAGCTAAATGTGGAGTCCGATGTATACGCCCCATCGAGAGGACCCAAGATACCCTGCCAGAGGTATAGAGGCATGCTGGCGTGATCACTAAACTGATGTTGCCCACAGAGGGGACTTACACCTACGTGGCTCGTAGTTCTGGGACTATATGGGTACGCTGAAACCCTAGTCCAACTCGGTATTATGCTACTCCCAATGAATTAAGTAGTTAACTGGTTATGACTGAATTTTTGTAAATACTGGATAGCTCGAACTGAACATGCAAACTGAGAATGCAACAATTAATCTGATAATGATGCATTCATAAACTGAGGCATGTAAAACTGAATACTGAAATATCTGACCTAGCATGTGTAAGTCAAGAACTAAAGAAATACATAGTTAGGGTTCTGAAATTCATGCGATAAACTGAGCAATAACATGATAATCTGATTTGGAACATTTAAATAACTAATTCATGATGATCTGCTGTAATTCTAGAAACCCTAGGTCTATTCATAATAAGGAAATCAAGAATCTGACTGAATTCTAGGGACCTAATGGGCGAAAGGAACCCACTAGTGAAATCCCACATACCTGGTGGCGAATTCCACGGAGAAATCTTTCGATTTCGGGGCTGGAACTGATGGAACCTTGCTGCGTTCTTGAACTAGGGTTCTTGGCCTTTTTCTCCCTTCTTGCTTCTAATTTTCTAAGTTTTGATTAATGAATTTGACTTAGGTAAGTTCTAGTTATGTTTCTAGGTTTAAACTAATTAAAACCTCATGATTTAGGGTCTAAACGACGTATCTTAGGGGTTAAACGAAATAGGAAAAGACCAAAAGACCCTTAAGTTAGCTGCTGTCGGAGTGACTGACGGACCTGACTGACGGTCCGTCAATCAATCGACGGTCCGTCGATTGGGTCCGTAGATGGAGTCTGCCCGACAGGGCTTCACTAAAACGGGCATAACTTTTTACTCGGAGGTCGGAATTTAGCAAACTCGGTGGCGTTGGAAAGATAATTCAATTATATATCTAACAATAGGTTATGGGACACATAATTCATTTTGTGCTAAAAGTTATGACCATCTGAAGTTGACCCATCAGAATTTTCAGCTAACTGGCTGCTATCCTTCGATCTACGGTCAGACCTACGGACCGTGGATCGAACGACGGTCCGTGCTGGTCAACCGTAACTCATGTCAGAGGCTGGGTAAGGAGGTCTTGATCCACGGACCGTGGTCTGATCTACGGACCGTGGGTCTGTCCGTGAGTCGAGACTTAACCAATTTTTTTGAGCTGACTGGGGAGGGGTTGAAGTGGCGAACCACGGACCACCAGCACGGGCCGTGGTCTGACCTACGGTCCGTGGATGGTGACCGTAAGTTGCACCTGCAACTTCTCAAAATCTGCATTTTTGTCTATTTTGAATACGGGGTGTTACAGAAAACCTTAGATATATCTTGAAGAGAATCTTGAACTTGGATGTAATGACCCGGAAGGTCATTTTTAGAAAGTTTCATAAAATTACCATTTTACCCCTCTCGACATTACCCCCGAATCATTTCTGAATGAGTTTTGAAATTGGTTTCGAGTTTTGAGTTAAACTTGTGAATTATGGGGATTTTGGAAAGGCTAAATTTGTTAAAGAGTGGTTTTCGGTGTCTTTTAGAGTTTCGAGTGTTAGAATGAAATTATGTCTACTTTATCAGTTTCAGAATATGGAAATTGATCTTAAAGAGTTGTCAGTTTCTGATTTGGAGTCTTTTTGAGGATGAAAGGTCCTAAGTTGGAAATTATTGAAATTTAGCCTTTGGTTGACTTTGATGTCAACATTCAAGGTTCGGATGCTCAAATTTGGTTTGGTCCACATTCTGGGTTCGGATGCTTGGATTGGATTTCTAATAGTTATATTGGATTCGGAGGATAATTTTAGGCCTAGAGGAGGTCTTGATTGATTTTTTTTAGGTCCCGGGCTTGATTTAGCCTTTTCAAGCGTTATGATTAGTTTCTTGTGACTTACACGAGATTCGAGGCAAAGAGACATCAAATTCGTGTTTCAATGGTCACATTGTGTTTGGAATGTCGAGTGTAGTCAATTAGCATATATGTTTTGTGTGTACGGGGTTCCCAATGAATCTGAGGGCCCTTTCAATGATTTGAGAGTTGGCTGATTTTCTGATGCCTGAGTTCTATGCTCTCCGCATTCGCTATAGGCCTTCCGTTTTAGCAACCTTCACGTTAGCGAAGGCATGATTGCTAAAGAAAATTCCGGAATTTTGAGAGGTTTGCTTTTGTGAACCAGTGGTCGCTTTCGCGACGGTCACGACGACCCTGAGTTTACAAAAGTGAGATCAAAGAGGGTTTTTGACAGAAATTTGGGGTTTTACCCTCATATTTTCCCATTTTGAGATTTGGAAAATCATTAGAGGCGATTTTGAAGAGATCTTTTTAATGTTAAATCATTTGGGTAAGCCTTTGTGACCCTAAAACTTCATTTTTCTTTTATCATGTTTGAATTTTAACATCAAAACATGGGATTTTGATTGGCAAATGACAAGATTTCTCAAGAACTTGAGTTCTAAAGTAAAACAGTGATTCTGAGCTAATTTTAACTCTTTTTTTTAAATGGTCTTCACTAATTATTTCTAAATGCCTTTGGTAACATTTCAAGTAAAGATTTTTGAATTCAAACCTCATTTAATTTTCAGAATTGGGTTTTTGAGTTGATTTGACCCATTTTTCAAAATATATACTATGAAAGTTGTTATTTTTGGAATATTATTGTGACTACTTGATTGAATTAGATTGTGAGGCTTTGGACATTGTTCGGAAAGGGAAGGCTCAAGTCTTGAATTGACTGCAGATTTAATTGAGGCAAGTAAACTTCTAAACCTCATAAAACTTGTAGAATCTTGTATTTTCCTTAATTATGTGTGTTGGGGAGTAATGGGAATGAGGTGATGTGTTCAATTATTTCACTCAATTTATCTTAATGAATAAAAAGGGGATTAACGAAAAAGACAAGGTGTTGATAGTTGTGCTTTGTGAATTGCTTTGTTGTGGACCCTAATTTATTCATTAATGAAATGCTTTAATGACATTTCATGGACTTGAATTGCTTGAGTTATTATCTCTTTCTTATGGTGTGAAATTGCTTATTTGCATTGATTTCTCTTTACCGTGATGAGACATGTGATGATTATGCGGAAGGGAAATGGTTCTGGCAAGTAAAATGATATAAAGCCGAAGGAAAATGGTTCCGGCTAGTGATATGCATGATATAAAGCCGAATGGAAATGATTTCAACTAGTGATATTGTGTCGAAGGAAAATGATCCCGACAAGCGACATGATATTAAGCCAAAGGGAAATAATTTCGGCTAGTGATATTGTGCTGAAGGAAAATAATTTCGGCAAGTGGTTCTATATAAAGCCAAAAGGAAATGGTTCCGGCTAGTTATATTGTGTCGATGGAAAATGACTATGGCAAGTGCTTGATTATTGTGATTCGATGAACCTGATACTTGTATCTAATTGATCTACTTGATACTTGTAATTGATCTACTTGATATTTGTGATTGACATACTTGATAATTGTTGGTTGACGAACTATGACTGTTGGACTATGATTGATAACCTTGAGAACTGTGAATTGTAAAACTATTAGGTTGGGCTGATTTCTATGCAGGTTGTAGTTGAGGCGGTTTAATTGGGATGAAAGGGCTGATAATTTTGTTTTGTTTAGGTGGTTACTTGTTGAGTACGTCCTTAACATATATAGTTACATTGTTACCCTTTTGGTTTCATCCTTAAATTGTTTGCCTTTTAATTTTTTTTTATCAATTTTATTGCCTTTTGACTCCAGACTAATATATATATATATATATATATATATATCATTGTTTTATTGAATCTAAAAACTAGAAAATTAAACGAATTTATTGAATCTGAAAAATTACAAAGTACAATGTCACAGATGAAAAAACATTGTTTTATTCTTCTTTCTCTCTAAGAAATATTTTGCATCCTGGTCCATCTTGAGGGCTTCAAATTAATGTTTCATTTTATCAATATCTTCTGCAAAATCTACAAATAAAAACATATATATTTATATTAGAAAATGAAAACAATAGAACATTTCTATGATCAGGCCAATTATATAGTAACTAATTACATGTTAATTTCTATAATAGGCTAAACTACATAGTTAATGTCTTAATGTAACAAAGATTTGTTACATTCTTAGTGTATATAACTTAAATTCAATAAGTTAACGTACTATATATATATATATATATATATATATATATATATATATATATATATATATATATATATATCACATGTTAAATTATACATATATATGTTGATAATACAAAAAATATTTACCTTGGAGAATCTGAGCAACACATTCACCTCCACAATGAGTCTCACAAGCAGTTTTTTCCTTGCCACTAGCAGCACATAAAATTACACATTTAGTGCAACATTTTTCATATTCAACAGCCATATCTTCATATGTGTTTCTGAATTTTTCATCATTTATTTCTTTGGTAGCCATGGAGATGTCCACACATGAAAAAATCACAAAAATGCAAATGAGAAACACTGCAAAAAGCTTCTTTGATGCCACCATTTTTATTTTTTGTTTTTTTAAATATGTTTGTTGTTTTTTGTTTTGTTTTTAGATGATTTGATTAATGTTATTGTATATCCAATTTATAGGTGTTTTGGAACATCAAAATACCTCAAATTAAAGTGGTTGATAACCAATTTTATAGGGAATTTTTGGTTGTGTGACCTTTCATTTTAGTTGGTATTAGAGACTTAGTTTACTAAAAACTAGGAATTGTTATATGATATCTCACCAAGAAATATTTAATTTTTTTTTGTCTATATTCATTTTATTAAGGGAAAAAAGGACAAATATATCCCTGAACTATCGTAATGGTATGCAGATACCCTCCGTCATATTTTTGGGACATTGGTGCCCTTACCGTCCAAAGGCTAGAGCATATATACCCTTTATACTAACGGACATACACGTGTCATAATCCTATCCACCAACCCGACATTTATTAAATATCAGATCGATGGATAAGATTGTTCCACGTGTCCCTATTTAGTCTTTTGTTAGAATGAAGGGCATATATGCTCTAGTTTTTGGACGGCAGAGGCACCAATGTCCCAAAAATATGACAGAAGGTATCTGCATACCATTTCCGATAGTTCGGAGGTATATTTGTCCTTTTCCCCTTTTATTAAAGTCTTATTAATGATCTTTTATACATTTGTTATGAATGAATACCTTGTTTTGATTATCCTTTATTCTATTACAATTTATAATGTTAGAAGGCATGATTATACTTTTGTCTAGGTTTTTATTAGTTTATTTTATTTAGTTTTTGTGTTGTTAATTTATACTAGAAAAGCTTATATGGGGATATACTTACATCTAGGATTGTTCAAATCAAATCGAAATCATTAATTCAAACCAATTTTTTTATTGATTTTTCGATAATGTAATTTCATTAATTTTTTAATTATCGGGTTATCGATTCTTAATGGTTCGAGGTTTTTCTTAATTTATATAAATCAATAAATTATGTTTATACCATTTGGTATATAAAGTTCTTGGTTTAAGGTTTAGTTTCATACTTTTATTTTTGGTTGTCTCAAACCCTCGGATTTTATCTACAATGCGTTAGTGTTTGCTTTTGAGCAAGATGCAATCTATCAACTCGTCTACATGGTTCATTTGGCCAGTCACCTTGTTTCTAAGTGATTCTGGATGTGATTTCTTGTGTGTATCAAATCTTAACGGTTAAAGAGACAACAATCAATAACCAAGAAGCCAATATCTTAAGAATCCCAAATTTTGGAAAACATTTCTATCCAAGACTTCCCCGCGGATGCGAACCATGCCCGTGAACTCGGACCAATAATTCATTAAAGTCTGTGAACACGGAGGCTAACTAAATAACCGTCCGCAAACGCGGTGGCCTCCACACGAACATGATGGCCTACCTGCGAAAACGGTGGGCACCAGTTATAACAACAAAATCAACAACCACCAAAAGTTTCGAAAGGACCTTCAGAATTCATTCGGAACACCACACACACAAACTAAATATGTCATCCAACTAAACTCAACGTTTTGGACTCAATGGAACCATAAATACAAATCTGAGATATCCTTGATTCGAAACTCGTAAAAGTCACAATAACTAACAAATGCATAAAAAGACCAAACTAAGCTTGGGATCTCTAAAAATTCAACCAAGACCTCTCTTAGGCCTAAAATCATCCCCCAAATTCAATGGAATTGTTGGAAGTTTAATACGAGCATCAGAACTCCGAATGTTGACCAAAGTAAACTAAAGGCCAAAATCACCCAAACTTCCAAATTTAAGATGTCAAATTCACGAAACAACTCTGAATTTGAAACCGACGACTCTCCTAGACCTAATTCCACATTGTGGAGCTGATGGGACTAATAGAAGTTCATTTTGAGACTCTAAACTCCGATTGACACCGAAAACCACCTTTAACCAACTTAAGTCTTTCAAAATTTCTAAAAACCACAAATTTTTACTAAACTTTAAAAATCAACTTCACAAACCAATCAGAAATTACTCGGAGCAAAAATTCGGAGGGATAAAATTGTAATTTTACAAAAAATCCCAAAAATGACCTTCCGGGTCATTACACAATGTTGATGATGAAGTTGAAGATGATACATTATACAATATCTTTGAAACCAGTACACCTATGGAAGCACTTGTCGCGTCTAGAACTCATCGTAACCTTTTGATGCAGTTCGAGAAGACAACACCGAAACTTTTGGATGCAATAACAAAATCAAAGATGCGCTTCTACTAGATTTAAATTTTAAATGTTGGTTGCATTTTGTTGATTGTGTTGAAAGTAGACTGTTCTTCATCCCTTCTGTACATTGAATCAATTGGATCATTCTCTAATTTTTTCCTTATTGCATCTTGTTGCTTAGTAACAATAGATTAGTCAACACAGTATGTTAAGATGATGTATTCATTTTTGGGTTCTTCTGTAGGTACTTAAAAGCTGAAATTTTAAATCATAATGATAATATGAGAAAGGTGTACATATATTAGAAAATATATTAAAGAGATATAATATTACTTCTTTTTGTTTATATTTTTTTTTCAACTTGCAAATATGATTTTTATGATGTTATTAATTATGGACACGATCGAATAAACGAACCGAAAAAAAGTAGAAAAAAATAAACTAATAAGAAACAATCTAATCTACCTTCAGAATGTAGGAATAAAATTGCGTACGTACACATTACCCTCCTCGCCCACTGTTAGGATCGAAAATAAGCAGGTGTAATGCGGAAGCTAGCAAAGCAAACATAAAAAAACGACGAGTAAGAAGACAAACGAGAAACACACCAAGAGACACAAAGATTTAACGTGGTTCGGTCAATCGACCTACGTCCACAAAAGAGATGAGCAATCCACTATAAATATGAGAGTACAAAATATAGAGAGAAAAAACCTCAACCAATTCACTAGAAATACAAGGAGGTTCACAAATTCTCCTCCATAACAGAAACTCTCAAAACTGTAGGACTACATTGTGAATGTTGATTAAGTTAGAAAGAACAAGCCTATATTTATAGTGTCCTAAAACATTTTCCTACTATAAAAGGACTAGTCAATCCAAAATCTTTTCCTAAAAGGAAAACTTATAGAATGATACAAAGTTTTAAAGGCTCAAATTTGTCATTGAACTTTGAGAAAAGACTCATTTATAACTTTTGTTAAAAGTTTGGCTTATCTTTGTCATTTTCGTTGGCATATTTGAGTCTAATCCCTTTTTAAAATAACATCGTTATGTATATATATATATATATATATATACACACATCATTGTTTTATTGAATCTAAAAATTAAAAATTAAACGAATTTATTAAATTTGAAAATTACAAAGTACAACGTCACAGATGAAAAAACATTGTTTTATTCTTCTTTCTCTCTAAGAAATATATTTTGCGTCCTTTGGTCCATCTTGAAGCTTCAAATTAATGTTTCATTTTCTCAATATCTTCTGCAAAAACTATAGATAAAAACATATATATATATATATATATATTAGAAAGTGAAAACATCAGAACATTTCTATGACAATTATTACTTGTTAATTTCTATGATTAACACACACACATATATATATATATTGAAAAAAGAAAAAAGGAAAAAGGACAAATATACTCCTAACTATTGTAAATGGTATGCAAATATCCTCCGTCATACTTTTGGGACATTGGTGCTCCTGTCGTCCATAAACTAGAGCATATATGCCCTTCATTCTAACGAAAGACTAAATAGAGGCACGTGGCACAATCTTATCCGTCAATCTAATATTTAATAAATATTGGGTCGGTGGATAAGATAATGACATGTGTATGTCCGTTAGTATAAAGGGTATATATGCTCTAGTTTTTGGACGACAGAGGCATCAATGTCCAAAAGTATGACGGAGGGTATCTGTATACCATTTACGATAGTTTGGGATTAAAAATTTACCTTGGAGAATCCTCTGAACGCAATCACCTCCACATTGAGTATTACAACTATCTTTAGGCCTGCCAGTGGTGGCACATACGGTGCTACATTTATAGTAGCAATTATCCAATTCACTTCCAATATGTTCATATGTTTTTCTGAATTTTTCATTGGTAATTGCTTTGCTAGCCATGGAGATGTCTACAGATGAAGAAATCACAAAAATGCAAATGAGAAACATTGCAAAAAGCTTCTTTGATGCCTCCATTTTTATTGTTTTTTTTTAAAAAAAAAATATGTTTTGTTGTTTTGCGTTTGATTTTTGGATGATTTGATTAATGTTATTGAATATCCAATTTATAGGTGTTTTGGGACATCAAAATACCTCAAATTAAAGTGGTTGATAACCAATTTTGTAGGAAATTTTTGGTTGTGGTTGTGTGTGATTTCTTTTTAGTTGGTATTTAGAGACTTAGTTAACTAAAAATTAGGAATTATAACATGATATATCAATAAGAAAAACTTATCGATAAATCGAAATTGATAATTTGAATAAAAAATTATTGGTTTATCGATTTAGCGGTTTCAGTAATGATTTTATTTATTTTATTATCGGGACGTTTTTTATTCTCAACAGGTTAATAGATAACCCAATAGTAAATCAATATATTATATTTATACCATTTTTTTTTAATTGAACAACCCTTGAGGGGGTCACGGGCTGAGCAACACCCCAGGCCTTATTTATATCATTCGGTATATAAAGTTATTGACTTAAGGTTTAGTTTCATACTTTTTATTTTTTGTTGTCTCAAACTCTTGGTTATTCTATAATGTATCAGTGTTTGCTTTTGAGCAAGATGCAATTTGTCAACTCATGTGCATGGTTCATTTGGTTTGTTACCTTCTTTCTAAGTGATTTTCAATGTGATTTTTTGTGTGTGTCATATCTTAACGGTTAAATCGATAATCAAACCAACAACGACCAATAACTATAAGTCAATATCTTAATGGTTCTATAATGGTTTACTCTTAAACCCTCAGCTTGATGGTTCGAGTGGCTCGGGCTTCGCTAGGGATTTACATGATGAACCTAGTCAAGGTCCAATGGCTTCAATCAAGGTTAATTCAAGTAAGGAAGACCTTGGCATTGGCGTGGCAAAGACATGCAAGGCAAGATGTGACTAAGGCATGTAAAGGGCTGGGCAATGCAAGGTAGTGATCATGGCATGGTCGTGGCTAAACAGGTTCGAGGGCTAAGTGTTGGGTAAGAACAACGACTCAGGAAGCTGAACCACAATGGAAAGCTCTGCGAGGCAGGACCTGTGCACAGTGCATGCACGAGAGCACGCGCAAAAGTGGGCGGCCAGAGACAAATTTTGGCGTCAAATTTGAAGGTTGCCTGCGTGTGCCTCACACATGTATGAGCAGTTGGTGGTTTCCGCAGTTTCTAGCCGTTGGGACTTTGTCAGCATTGCAGATAAGATTCTTTTGTCTAAAATTCAAATTGGCCTAAGTGGGTTAGATCGTCTTGGGTTGACTCCCTTACATTTAGTATGTCTACAAATTATTAACCAATAAGTTGAACCGATAAACTTTAAAATTGATACACAAATCCTACTTTTACCGGATGAAATATCTTCAAAGACAATGTCTTTGACGACACACCTTATGCTAGGAGAATTTCCTACACATTTCTTCATTTAAGTATTTTTTGTAGGATTTTCAAAATAACATAATTTGAGTGACTTATAGCCTTGTTGTATACGTTTCGGAATATGTGTTCTTGAGAGCAAAAGCTTACTGATGAACATAAAGTAAGAGAAAACTTTGAAACACAAAAATATATAACAACTATTTATAGTCAACAAAAGAAATACACAAATTAATATGACATAACAATATCTCACTCGGGGCTTAAAGTACATCCACCAATAAAAATGTTTCACTTGAAAGTACTAAAAATTACGAAAATATTTTAAAATACCATAATCCACGACTCTATTTTTGACATTTAGGAGTCATTTAAATGAAATTAGACAATTTATCAGTTTTTCGTGTGTGTTAGCTCATGAATATTTTGGTGATATAACTTTAATCAATTTTTTTGAAAAATCTTTTTGATGCCCTCTGTAATGAATTGTGGAGCAGTACGTAGTCTCACTATGATCTACAATATTTTTTTGGCATTTAGAAGGCCATTTAAAAGGAATTAGGCGATTTTTTCAGTTTTTCATATGTAGCCCATAAAGATATTGGTGATATGATTTTCGATCGATTTTTTGTAAAAATTTTACGGGACCTTTCATAATGAGCTGGTGGAGTAGTACGTATATCTTCGCCATGATCCATGACATTTTTTACATTTAGGAGCCATTTAACAGGAATTAGGCGATTTTCTTGATTTTTCATGTGTGTTAGCCTATTAATATTTTGGTAATATGATTTCCAGACTATTTTCTTGAAAAAACTTTACGGGACTTTATGTAATGAGTTGAGGGAGCATTATGTATTTCCTCACCATGATACACAATATTTTTTGACATTTAGGAACCAATTAACAAGAATTAGACGAGTTTTTCAGTTATTCTGTGTGTGTTAATTTATTAATATTTTGGTGATATGACTCTCAGTCGATTTGGAAAAAAATTTACAGGACCCTGTAATGAGTTGTGGAGCAGTACGTATAGACTCACCATGATCCACGTTATTTTTTGGCAGTTAGGAGCCATATAACAGGGATTAGGCAATTTTTTCAATTTTTCGTGTGTATTGTTAAACCATGAATATTTTGATCATATGGCTTCAGGTCGATTTTTTTGATAAAGTTGTTATGGGACCTTTTGTAATGAGTTGGGGGAGCAGTACATATAGCTAACATTGAAGAGCCATTTAATAGGAATTAGACGATTTTTTAAGTTTTTCGGAGATATTACCCAAGAATATTTCAGTGATTTGTCTTTCAGGCAATTTTTTTCCAGGACACTCCATAATAAATTAGGGGAGCACTATGTATACTCACTATGATCCACAATATTTTTGAGCATTTAGAAGCCAAGAATAAGGCGATTTTCTCAAATTTTCATGGGGGTTAGCCCATGAATATTTTGGGGATAAGCTTCCGGGTGATTTTCTAAAAAAACTTTACGGGACACTCCACAATGAATTGGGAGAGCAATATGTATAGCCTCACCATGACCCACAACATTTCTGTGCATTTAGGATCTATTTAACAAGTATTTGATGATTTTTTCAGTTTTTCGTGTGTGTTAGCCCATGAATATTTACTGACATGGCTTCCGATCGATTTTTTTTTTGAAAAAACATTACGGGACCCTCCATAATTAGTCGGGGGAGCAGTATGTATAGTTTCACCATGATCCACGACATATTTTTACATTGAAGAGCCATTTAATAGGAATTGTGCAATTTTCTCGATTTTTCATGTGTTATTTCATAAATATTTTGGTGATATAATTTTCGATCGATTTCTATTAAAAAAATATGGGACCTTCCGTAATGAATTGGGAAATTGTACTTGTAGTATTATTTTATCAATTTTTAGTATTTTGGTAATGTGATTAGATTATTTTATCAATTTTCGCATGTGTTAGGACATAAATATTTTGGTGATATAGTTTTGAGTGTTTTTTTTAAAAAATAAAAAATAAAAATTTATGGGATTAAACCTTAATTTACACGTTTCTGAATTTGTCAATTTCTTGCATTTGACAAAAGCAATAAATCTGTGAACTCAAAGCAATTCCATTTGCTACCGTCTTTTTCAGCACAATATCCGATTTTTATTTGGGGCTTTTCTCTTGAGTTATCTTCTTTGCTTAGCAAGGTAAATGCTTCTATTTATTTCAACAATTCCATTGAAATCATTTGGGAATCTTGGATTATTTCTACTTCATTGTGGAATTGACATAAATTTCTGTTTTTCTTGTAAAGATTTGTTCTTACCCAAAATCTCAAACACCCCAAGTGTTGTTCTTCGGGATTGTTGCTACTTTATTGTGGAATTATCATAAATTTCTCTGTTTCTTGTAAAGATTGGTACTTCCCCAAAATCTGAAACACCCCAAGTTTTGTTCTTTTGGATTGTTGCTACTTCATTGTGGAATTAGTATAAATTTTTCTGTTTCTTGTAAAGATTGGTTCTTTTTCAAAATCTGAAACACCCCTAGTTTTGCTCTTTTGTGTTCTTTTACTTTATGTTAGGTGTTGAGTTTCAATTAGGGGAATCTTTAGGTACTCTTTCAGATGGGGTTTTGGGTTTGCTCAAAGAATTTAATTATTGTAATGATTAAGTTATTGGAGCTGAAGGAATATAAGGGTAATGGGAGAAAAACAGTAAGAGGTAGATTGAGTCAGAAATGTTGAGAAATTAGGTGAAAATATAGCAAGTTCACTTCATTGATGATGCAATATCGTCATGATTACATAAGTCTTTCTTCTGTATCGAGGATCATCAAAATAAACAAGAATACTATTTCGATGGAAAATACCATTTATGGGATGTGTTAGAGAGTATGAAAGATTAAGAACTAGTGTGGAGGTTATAATATGTTTCTAAGCTCTTATAGGCAGTGGCAGTGCCACTCTTGTCCAAGAGGTGTCAGTTGACACCCATTCGATTGGAAAATTACACAATGTAGATAGGGAAATTTTTTATGTGTTCGTTGAATCCCGTTGGATTCTTTTTGTGCTTACTTCTTTATATTTGGACTATTTCTCGTGAAAATCCTGGCCCCACCAGTGCTTGTAGGAATAGAAAATGGTTGTTGGAACCTTGAGTTTATGACACTCATATGCTTACTTCTTTGACATGTGTCGTATTCTTGCTGTCAAGTTTACTTCTTTGGCATATATCACGCTCCTGCCCAACCCTTTTTGCATCATCGATTTGTTTAGGTCAATTTGAAACTGCTATTGAACCATCCTTTTTGGAATCATCTAATTACTTAGGCCAATTTGAAACTGAGTTTAGTTTCTATTGAGTTGCTACTATACCTCAGTGTGCAGTAACGACTGAAGCGTGCATGATTTCTGTAAGCTGTTTCCTGGCTTTGTCTGCCCTTTCCACCCATGTTTTTTCCTTGATATCTGAGCACCTTATCTGAAGAGTTACATGAGAAATAGGATTTGGCCTACTGCTTAGGGCTGCAATGGCCTTGATGGTGTCGTCATCATCTGCATAGTCGTCTATGACTTCTTTATTCATGTTGGTTGCATCTTGTTGATTGTGTTGCAAGTAGACTGTTCTTCATCCCTTCTGCACATTGCATCAACTGGATTATTCTCTCCTTTTTCTCTTATTGCATCTTGCAGCTTAGTTACAATAGATTGGTCTACACAGCATGTTAAGATGTATTCATCTTTGAGTTCTTCTTTAGATACTTAAAAGCTGAAATGTTCAGTCACAATGATAATATGAGAAAGGTATAGATATTGTCTCCATTTTAATACAGCCAATGAAAGGTCTATGAGATCTTTTTCATAGGTTGAGAGACCTTGATGTTTAATGCTAAGTGCTTGACAAGGGATTGCAATAGGTTTTCCTTCTTGCATTACCACATCACCTATCTGTTTAGTCTTAGTTATGCAATTTCACATTCAAGGTTTTGGTAAAATTCTGTAGTACTGACCTATAAAGAAATCGATAATGCCAAACGGTGTGCCTCTATCATGGATTTTTTAAGGTCTAGGAATGCAGTGGTGGCTTCACGAAGTCCGTGAAGAAATATCCCTTCTTCAGTGGTATAGTAAGGGGCCCGCTGATCTTCCATAATTTCTTATATGTCCTCCGTGATAGAATATAAGGTCAAGGGATTCCTTCAGCTCCTTGATTGAAAAGGACTATGGCGAATTTCTCTTTGATAATGCCATAATGGTGGTGTCACAGAATTTGTATATCCAACCCCCAAGTACTCCCCTTGGATATTTGCAAGCAAATGACACTCGCTTAGCAACTAAGCACAATCTCTACGTGCTGCAAATAATCTGTAAACGAGAAGCCGTAAACTAGAACATCCAAGAAAACAAGGATGATTCCCTTAGGTAAATTCCAAAGACATCATGCATACGGGACCATATTTGTAAATTTAAAGGGAATCACCCTGAATTACCACCTACTATGGTCCAATAGGTAACCATCAAGTTTGTACCTGAATGAATGGGCATAAGGAGGACAGAGGGAAGGGTATTCAAATGCAAGGTGAGCTTGAACATGGAATTGGTGAAATGAGATAATTGACATTGTTAGGTATTGATGTGTTAAATTCATCATGGAGCAACGTTACAAAAGAAAAAAAAAGTATTATTCATCTTGTTTCGGTCTACTATATAGCCAAGTGTTTTTAGCTTTTTTGAATTGGAAGTTTCTAAATGTGATGTGCGCTTGGCATTTACTCCTGTTACAATATCTCTAGGTAAAGCTAGGCCACTGTGGAACGAGTTTTTCCGTAATCCTTTGAAAACCTCAGTGCACTGATTGTATTACTAATGTATGCTAGTCTCTCTGCCGCCACTGCCGACTTGTACAAAGTTTGGCTGAGAAGAGATGTTGGCCTTTTCTATTAAGAAGAGTGTTACTTGTGATATATAAAGTGCTAGTAGTTCACATTATGATTCTCTTTATTCTACTGTAAGGATAATTATGTATGTTCCGTGTTAATTCCTTTGCTTATCAATCAAATGATTCAAATTGCATATTTCAGGTTGACGTCAACCAATAGTAGTACACCAACATTATATTTGTTGATAAAGATAGGTGCAAGCTTGGTGGTTATGACTGCACTCATCGAAGGTCTTCCTGATGCTGTTGCCATTAGGTGCCTTGCACGGGTTCCATTCTACCTTCATCCAAAGTTAGAGCTTGTTTCCCATTCCTGGAGAGCTGCTATTCAAAGTGCTGAACTATTTAAAGCTAGACAGGAGGTCAACTCATCTGAAGAATTTTTATGTGTATCTGCATTTGAACCTGAAAACTTATGGGAGCTCTATGATCCTACACATGACCTTTGGATTACTCTCCCGATTCTCCCCTCCAACATCAGTCATTTTGCTCGCTTCAGTGTTGTTTCTACTGCTGGGAAGCTGTATGTTTTAGGTGGTGGCAGTGATGCTGTGGATCCATTGACAGGTGACCAAGATGGAATTTTTGCAACTGACAAGGTCTGGTCATATGATCCTGCAACCCGAGCATGGAATCCGCGTGCATCTATGCTTGTACCTCGTGCCATGTTTGCTTGTTGTGTGTTGGATGGGAAGATAGTCGCTGCAGGGGGTTTTACTAACCGCAGAAAATCAATATGCAATGCGGAAATCTATGATCCTGAGACGGATATCTGGGTACAATTACCTGATCTCCATCATGCGCACAATTCTGCTTGCTCGGGAGTAGTTTTTGGTGGTAAAGTTCATGTCTTGCATAAAGGTTTGTCAACTATTCAGGTTTTAGAAAATTTCAAGCAGGGTTGGATTGCTCATGAGTATTCTTGGCTCCAGGGCCCGATGACTGTCGTTAGGGAAAGTCTTTATGTTATGAGCAATTGGTTCATTTATAAGCAGGAAGGAGAATCAAGAAGAATGATAGTTTCAGCATCTGATTTTCGTAGGAGAATCGGGTATGCTATGATAGGGTTGGGAGATGATATTTATATAGTTGGAGGGGTTAATGGACCTGATTACTGGAATTGTAGCGTCAAAGTGCTGTCTGATGTTGATGTCTTGACCCTTGGAAGTGAGAGGCCAGCGTGGCGTAAGGTTGCTCCATTGACAAGGTGCAAAGGGACAATCCTTGGCTGCACACAGCTGAGAATTTAGGACAAGCATAAATGGGGATGAAATTTATTTCAGTGTTATCGAATAAATGCTACAACGAACATTTGGCACTAAAGGGGCTGCTAGGGATAGCGTGAAGTAGACAAGTGAATAGGAAAAAAGCAAATTGAGATTACTAATGGTGGATGAAGTTTGAGGGTAAACATGTTCCATGCCTTGCCCTTGTCTCCTTTGTCGTAGACTGAAAATGATGGAAATCCTATCTGACATGACTTCTATGAGTTGTCTTAGCAGTGATCGACTTTATTTTATTAGTTGTCTAAAAGCTACAGTAAATGAAATCCCGCGCCAGAAAACATGGAAGCAACAAGATGTTCAGCTTTCTTGTCTAGTGTGTAAATCCTATTGCTTTCAGCTGCTGAGTTCTTGAGAGGAATGAAGTTCACCCCGACTTTGAGAACTGGAGATTTTGACATGATAAAATACATGTATTTGCATTAAGGAGCACTAGTATTTCTTTTTCTTAGTGTTTGTAATTTGAGATGAATTTAAATAGTGTAATAGGGTCGGATTCATAGTTGACCTCGACTTGTTTGAGACTGTTGCGTTGTTGTAGTTTAAGATGGATTAACTAGTTGCTTACTTGGTTGCTTCAATCCATGCTTTTGTCGTAAAGATGCACTTTTTGTCAATTAACCAGGATTGAGGCGTAATTATTATTGTTATTGTCGCCCTTTCACTCTCTATTGGTGTATATATATTAGTTTCTCAAAATATTAGTCAAAGTTTACCCAATTGTAGTTTTACACATGGAGTTGAGGAAGGGTAGAACGCATACAAAGATCTTATTTCTATTTCTCTTTTTGTGGAGTAAAGATGTTTTTTTGTAGATCCTCAACTCAAAAAAAGTGTAACCATAGCAGGAGATTATGGATTGAACCGTCATTTGCCCTCGAAAATTCTCAATAATAAAAAAATGTGAAAATAAATTAAGGATAATTTCAAGACCTTCACTTAAGTTTAACTTCATAACAATAACCTCTCTTATAGTTTTTTAATATGGAAAATGTTCATATTTATCTTTATACTTTAAAAAAAAAAAATTGCCCTTCCTCGTACTTTTTCATATACTAGTTTCATAGCACGTGTGTATCGCATATATAGTATATGATGTTGTAAAATAGAATTAATATTACTAAATTAATGTTTTTAGTAAATAATTATAATTGAAAGAACATAGGACCAATGTTTTTATTAAATGATTAATACATATTGTCATAGAGTTACTTGTATTTTGAGATCATATTGACCAGATATCATTGAAACATTTGAAAATACATTCAGAATTTAAATATGGAGAGAGTGACATTTCTTTAGTAGTGCTATTTTTACTTCACTCAATTTTGTAAACAAATCTAACCAACAAATTTTATTTTTTTTTAAATATCAATAGCCTTTCTTCTTGAGGTTATGAACATAAATGATTGACACCATTTAAGTATAATTATTCTCTTAAAAAATCACACTTGAAATTTAGTATGTGCATGACACTAATAAGGATTTCCACAAATATTTCAATATTTTATCTTTATGCGTAATCTATTTTTTTACAAAATATTATTACTCAATTAATATTTGAGTAAGATTATCATAGAGAGGTAATTTTACAAAAAAAAAAAAAGGATACTTTGTTGTTATAACGAATGATGGTTAAATAGAGGCTTGAGTGTATGTCAAATATTTAGCTTGACCAACACTTTGTTATAGATATACATTTTAGTAGCATAATTTAATTTCAATATATGAACATCACCTTTGGTGAGAAATATTTCATTTCATTAAGTTTCTGCCTTATCTTTGTAGAATTGTAGTATTTTCATTTTTTCTGCCGCATACATATCATATAGTTGTGGTCTAATGAAAATATCTAGTATCTTATAGAAGTTTTATCGTGATATAAAATATTTACCTTTTTCAATAATAAAAATTAATTGATGAATAAAATTTAAAGTGTTATTTATAGAATCTTTAATTTGATTTAAGAATATTTAATGACCAATCACTATTTTCTTATCTATCTTAATATAGCTATCAAGGAGTATATCTTGTGACATAACATTTTCTAAAATAAAAATGAGAACAAAATAACAGGAAATTCATAGTTAAAAAATTGCAAACTTAATAAAAATATAAAAAAGAAAAAACATATGGAACAATACATAGCCAATGGAGAAGGAAGACGAAAATATATGTTTATGCTACATCCACTATAGTGTTCCATTTGACTGAAATATCTTCCCACCAACACGTTACTTTCCCCGTTCATTTTTACTTAAATATGTATTAAAAAATAATATAATTATTATCATGATTATATTATCATATTATAAGTAAAAAGTGAAGATCTATTTTTGAAATAGTAGATATAACATCAAAACTAATAATTCAATGGACTATGTTGATGCCCGTTGTTTTAGTAAAATTAGAAAGAAACTCCTTTGTTTGAGTGTGAAAGAATAAAAAATGAAAAAACAAAGAAGAAATATCTGACCCAAATCATGTGACTTTTTTCACATTTGTTTATTATTATTGTCTTTTCCACAACTTTTCGTCACTATTAACTCATGAAAATCGTAAGAAACAATATGAGTGAATTGATGAATGATTTTCTACAATTTGTTCACGGATTCTTTTTTATGTGGTACCTCAAATTTCGTTGAATTTTTAACTTAATCAATTGTTCCAAATAACTCTTGAGATTTTTAAGAAGAAGAAGATTAGAAAACTTTTTTAAAAAAATCGTAGTTTAAAAGTGAGAGGAAACCCTCTATTTATAGCTAACAAATATTTTTTAGTATGAATATGTGCTAATTGTGCCTTATCAGAAAAGTTACAACCTTTCAAAAAAGTCATTGCTCATTAAAAAAGTCACAACCTTTTGGAAAAGTCAAAACTCATCGAAAAAGGCACAACCCTTTGGAAAAGTCACAACTCTTTGAAAAAATCACAACCCTTCGAAAAAGTCACAACTCATCGAAAAAGTCACAACTCATCGAAAAAGTCACAACCCGTCGAAAAAGTCACAACCCTTTGAAAAAATCACAACCCTTTAATGTGAAAAGGTATTAATTTTTAATATTATTAAATTAATAAATAAAATAAATTGATTATTTTTAATTGGGGGTATTATAGTAATTTAATATTCAAGTTTGGGAGTTCATGCTTTTAAGGTAGTATATTTGTCTTTATCATTCAACTTTGGACACATATTTACCTTTGCACTGTTAACTTCCATGTCACCACCCATGTTATCTTACGTGATGCCTAGATGAATATATTTTTATCCTAATTACGTGGTGCTAACTCCCATATCACCATCCTTATTATCTTACGTCTATATGAATATATTTTTATTCCAATGACGTGACACCAACTTTTTGTCAAGGAGATTTGGGTGAACACCCTCGCCTCCTCTTATTCACCCTTGTTTTTGATAAACCATCGGCTCACACAAAAAAAGAAAAAAAAATGGGAAGTCATCGTGGGCCGAGAATTCTGGACCACTAAAGAAATGGGCCGTCCAAAAATAACGGACTTAACCGAATACTATCCGCTGCTAAATCTGTAGAACCTTAAACCCTAGCGAAGAAGAAAGACGAAGGTTTTACTCTACTCAACAACAATGGAGGAAACTAACATGGACGATTGTGAACACAACCGTGAATCTGAGGTTGCTCCGGCGTTAATTGCAGTTCACCCAACTCAGAAATCCGTCGCCGTTGCCGTCGGCTCGAATCTCCGCGTCTTTAACCTTCAGTAAGTCACTATACAAAAATAATCATTTAATTCACTATTTTGTGTTCAAACTTAGTACATGTCAATTTCAATGATGTTGACTTGGTTAGACTGAGCACGGAAATTTAGAAATTAATGATTTTTTGTAACCTGTGATAGTAAAACATGAAATTTTAAGTTAAATTGGTGTCATTATATTTGGGACGGACTGATAATAGTGTCATGTGGAACTGATCCCTTAAAATAACTGTCATCTTAGCAAACCATTAAGAAATCAATTATTTTTGGGTCAGACTAATAGTAGGGGCTCCCTAAGTACTAAAATAAGCGTCACATTCATTAAGAAATCAATAAATACGGTGTGTAAGCTGTCTCTTGAATAAATATCTCTTGAAAACCGAATATTTAAAGATGGAATATAAGTATATAGTTGGAAAAATATGTTATAAATTAAAACTTGGCATAAGAAATTTTCCAACTTTCATTGTGACCATCTAGACACTTCAACTTGATATAGGTGTGCTTGACGAACACCTTAACTATGGAAATGCACATATTAATGCCTCTAAGGGGGTGCATTCTCAAAATTGGGGTATTTACGGGGCTAACTTAAAACAAGTTAAGGTGGCTAGATGTGCCTTCTAAAAGTTGGGGAATTTAGTTGCCAGTTGAGACCAAGTTAAGGTGTCTATCTATGTATTATGTCTTAAAACTTCTCATACATTTTAAAGAAAAGTTTCTTATAAAGATTTTACTGGAGAATATAAATGTTCTTTACAACAATAGCTAAAGGAGAGATTTTTATATTTCTGGTCAATAATGGAAGTAATCTTATATATAGGTTTGGTTTATTTTGGGGCTGATGTCATTCTAATATTGGCATACAATTTGGTTTTTTCTTAAGACAAATTAGAGGGAAGTTTGACAACATTATCAAAGACTTACAGTTTGCAGCTGGATTATATATTATATTCCACAATTTTGATGCAGAGAAGGTTGTTCGGTTTCATTGGTGGATGATTCAGGAGTGCACATGCATAAGGATTCAATTAGAGCAATTCGATATGGTGCTGAAGGAAAGCTGTTTGTATCTGCTGGCGATGACAAACTTGTTAAGATTTGGGTTACTGATTCTTGGCGGTGCATAAGTTCGGTGTAAGTTTCTGATGTTCAAGTTCTGCTTTTGTTTAGACTTACTTAACAGTAAGTTGCCCGGACTCTTCAAAAATGTTGCCAAATAGAACAAATCGCATGTAATAATAATAACAATACTACTAATATTTTTTCTTCTAAATTTTCTGTGTCAGAAAATCTTTTGATAAGTGGATGTCTGTTGATTATGTAAATTCTTCTTATACTGATAATTATTGGTTGCACCGACCACTGCAGATGTTTGTTCCTTTTCTTCCCCCTCTTTCCCCTTTTTTGTTTGTTTTAAATTTTTTCCTTTTTAGGAGTTGAAGTTGTCTAACTGCTATGGTTTTAATAGGTCATCCGAGAAGAGAGTTACTGCTGTTGCCATCAGTAATGATGGGCGTTTTGTATCCTTCGCGGATAAATTTGGTGTAATTTATGCAGTTGAAATAGAAGGTTCTCATGAAAATCAAAGTCTGCCCAATAAGAAGGCAGTCCCAATTCTCGCCCACTACTGCAGCATCATTACTAGTCTGGTATTTTCTTTTCCTTTCCCCTTTGTGTGAATTGCTTTAGTTTTCTGTGAATCTATTTTTTTACCCTCTATATATGAGGGTTAGTGATTTACTCAGATATTGTTGTGATACTCATGAATGGTCCTTCTAAGCAGTTTTCTATGGAAATTGTGTTTTCATATACACTGGTTGACAATTGTATTCGTGGCTCAACTCTTTTACACAAAGATCTACTGTCTCGATGCACATCTCGTGCACAATTTCTTGCAAGCCTTGTCCATTCTGGCGGTCAAGTGTAAAGCATTATCCATTCTGGTGAATGGATCATGATACTCCTATTGTCTATGATTACTTCATATAAGATTAAGTTCAACTTATTCTGGGCCCCCATGTATCATATCCCCACTTTTTTCTATCAAACTAGATTGATCCCCTAATCAAGGCCTCTGGTTTCAAAGGCTAGTTAGTTTTTCTCAAAGAGAATTTTCCATCTTTGCAGGAGTTTTCACCTGATGGACGATACATTATTAGTGCCGATCGGGACTTCAAAATCCGAGTAATGTCATGCTTCTTATTAACCATGAATCTTAGTAAGATTTCTTGACGATCTCTTGCTAACATCAAAATTTCTTCTGGTTCATAATTACAGGTCTCTGTCTTCCCGGAAAAGCCATCAGATGGGGCTCATGAGATTCAATGTTTTTGCCTTGGCCATTCAGAGTAAGAATTTCTTGAAATTCTGGTGGTCCTAACACCCTCAGTAGTGATGATCAAGCTGATCCAGAATAGTCTTTTTCTGTTGAAATGTTGGTTATACTAATAAAATTTTAAAATCTAGTGACAGTTCTCTGGTCATTATTGATAAAAGCCAATCTTGACATTTGATAAGGATACTTAACCCAAGAAAGGAGAAAAACATTTTGACCAGGATGATTTAGGTGGTCATTTTTTGTGTCGTCCAACTGTTACATCTGATGAAATATTTATACCATGCATGTATTTGCCGAATTTATTCTCCTTTTACACGTTTTGTAGGTTTGTGAACACGGTTGGTGTGGAATTAGACAAAAGTGGCCTTATAATGACAATAACAAAAGCAAATAATGTGGTTCAATTAATGAGACCTAATCCTCGGGTGGAGCAGAGAAATTCCACTAACGAGTACAGAAAAGAGAGTACAAAATTAGAGATAGAAACATGGCATAGGCGTTGACGTTACTGTTATCTGTGTTTCTCTTTCGGTACCTGTGTTGACGATCTTCTTTCGTTTTTAAAAGTGCATTTTATTGCCTTCCAGCAATTCTATTCATCCTCCCCCCCCCCCCCCCCCCCCCCCCCCAAAAAAAAAAAAAAAAGGAAGAAGAAAATAATCAAAGGATAAATAAAAGAGAGATGAAAATAGTTGTTGAGTTTTGAACTTCAGCATGCATTTCCACACGAAGAAATTCTAGTTTTGACAATGCTTACTGGTTATCATGGTCATGGCTCATTTGTTATGTCTCAATTGTCAGGTTTGTTTCGTGCCTTGCCTTTATCTGCAGCCAGGATTCCCAGCAGTGGTATTTGCTTTCGGGAGGTGGTGATTCAACTGTGAGTAAATTTTTAAAATGAATTAACTTTTTTTTTAACTCAAATCACCTTTTTGCGCCTTTTAAGGCTCAATTTGGAAAAGATAACAAATGTCATCCTCTGCATTTGGCTATTGATCCTCTCTATTTAACACTAGCCGGTGACCTAGCAACTAAGAAACTAAAATCGATCCTTTTTATGATGGTATCCGGCCAACTTGCATGCACCTCGATTATTCAATTGTGTAACTGCCCACCAAAGCTTTGGCAGATGGGAGGAAACCTGAGTTTTCATGATTCTCCTCCAACTTCATTGACCAGTGACTCCTAGGCCACACCCTTGAGTTCAATACACAAAATTGGCAACATAAACTACAAATACTTATTTTAAGTGTCTAGTTAAATGAAATTAATTACTTAAGAATTATATGAGCATTTTATTTCATTTTCATTTTTTTATCTACTTTGAGGCATATTCTATAAGGAGTTGTAATATCATGCAACCGTTGCTCTTTTTTTTTTCTTTTTTCCAGGTACGCTTGTGGGACTTCACTTGTGGTTCTCTTCTTGATACCTGTCATGTTGGAGAGGTAGCTTCATCTCTTTTGGAGTGAGATACTTGATAGATTTAATTTGGTTTTCTGTCTCAATCACAATAACCAATTGGCTGATTGAATCTCTTGCTAGAAAATTAATCTGTAGTGATTTGATTTGGCTGATTTTCAATCCACAAGCATGTGGTGATTGTGAAATAGGGCGTGAAGCGATCGATTTTTCTTTGTTCCATTTCCTTTCTTCCTCTACGTTTCTTGTGTTGAAACAGGAAACTGCATTAAAGCTTTCATGTTTAGCTTAGTTCTTAATTTTCTCTGCGATTGTGAAGACAGGACTATTACAGTCAAAAGAAGGAATAGATGACAGGTTGCTGGCTGTCACTGATCTCTGTGCCACTCCTGGTGGATCACTAATCGCGGTGGCTATTCAGAGGTAAGTCTCTCGTTATGTCAACATGTTACCTTTTCATCCTTTCAAGAGCTCTATTAATTTGTTCTTGAATCATAATACCTTTCTCCGTTGCACTGTAGCTTGGCAGGTGTCATGCTTTTGAGTTGCAACCTTTCAGCTAAATCTCTCCATGTTGCAAGAGTAGGTTCCTTAACCATCTCTGAATCACGAAAATCTATTTAGATTTTGTATCGTTCAAAGTATCAACAGCCAGCATCAAGTGGAAATGTTATATGATGCTATTTGACAATATTGTAATTTTTTTTTAACTCTGAAGGAAAGGAAGCCTTGGCATAACTAGTGAAGTTGTTGTCATGTGACTTAGGCCACGGGTTCAAGCTGTGGAAACAGCCTCTTGCAGAAATGCAGGGTAAGGCTGCGTAGACCCTTGTGGTCTGGCCCTTCCCTAAACCCCGCGCATCGCGGAAGCTTTAGTGCACCGGGCTACCCATTTTTTTTTTTGTATTTGTTTAACCTTTTCCATTGGATGTAAATTCCAGGTGGTTCCAATTCCTGGGGAGACTTTTATTCCCACAAGCTTAGCAGCCGCCTCTTCATCGAATCAATTGTGGATGGTCATGGGTGCATCGACTCTATGTACTTCCCATTCAGCACCTTTGGCTCGTGTGAAGGTTCTTGATGGTTTCTGCGAGAGCAACCAGGACTCTGTTGAGCAGGAGGCTTGTGTCTTAGAAGATAAAGATTTACCAGGTAGTGAACAACTCCTTCAAACGCTGCAGGGGAGTTCGGTCATTGAGAAAGATGCACTATCCGCAGCTGCAGAAGCAGTGAAAAGAGCAATGTGTAATCTATTAATCAAGAAGCAGTACCCTTCTGAAAATCGAGAGTTTAGAAAGAGAGGGAGGAACGACAAGAGAGTAGATAAGAAAAAATGAGAGCGGTGGACAAAGTTACCTGGTATCTATGCTGGTGGGAGGTTATCAAAGTTTTTATAGACCGAGTTGATTTTGCTGCCAGCAGTGAGCAAGGTAGTGGCCTTCCAGCTCAAACTCGTAAACAGTTCCAATGATGAAAGAAATCGAATTTTGCCTTGCTGTGAAGTAGTTTTTTTCTGCTTTTAATCACAATTTGTGATATGATATGATATTGACTACATTGTTTACAAATTGTTCACCCTCATTGTAACTTTTTTTAATTATTTAGCTTGCATTGTACTGTACTGTAGCTAATTTTGCTGCTTTTGATATTACCATAATTTAAAAGCCTTCATCTCATTTGTTCAACATTGATAAACCTTTCCTGTTTGAAATTATATTCAGTGTTTTTTTTGTTTGTAGTTAATCTGAAGGAGCATTAACAATTTTGGCAGTAGTGATTATAACCGCAATGACTAATGTTTTAAAGTTGGGCATAATATTTAACGTGTGATGTGTATAAGTAAGCACTTAAACTATCATAAAGAGAATGTAGATACGTATCTCACGCAATTTGCCATGTAGAACGTTTGTGTTTAGTTCAGAGGTATTTTTGACCATTTTTCACATTGTAATCTCATTATAACAAACTATAATATAGTTAAAAGAAATTTATGATTGTGAAGACATTACATCAATGTCTTAACAACTACTATAAAAATTTTGAAAAATATAAATAGATTAGTAATATTAACTGTGTTTAAAATTAAATCCCAAGCGAAGTTGAAGGGTATATTTGTCCTTTTCCCTTGAAAGGAAAATAAGCATTACAGTTAAGTTGGTTAGTATGTGAAGTTTAAATAAAAATTGACAAGAAAAGAAATAGAAAGAATTCCACATCTTGTAGCGCCATTTTTGGGTCTTCATGTTGCTACTTTTTGACGATGCGATTTTTAGGCTTTTTTCTTACAATTTCAACCAAAATACAACCGAATTCCACGCATTCATGTTTTATTTATCTCCATTTGCTTTCTTCAATCGATCACCATTTTTGCAAGTTTGAAAAAATCCATTCACATTTGCTCAAGTTAGCGTTCGGTCCAGTACGATTTTCGCTCTCTAATTGAACTCATTTTGCTTCTTCTTTTATAAACAGTTACGACAAGCGGATCTACAATTTGAAGTTTTTATTAGAATTGAACTCACTGTTCTTTTGAAATTACGAGATCAGAATCTAATATTTATTGAAAGTTTAGTGATTATTTTGATATACAGTCGAAATTGAACTCATTTTGCTTTAACAATTAGCTGAATATCAGAGGCGGATCTAGGATATGAAGTTTTTATTAGAACTGAACTCACTCTACTTTTGAAATTACGAGTTCAGAATCTATTATTTTATTGAAATGCTAATGTTATATTTTATATAAATGGTCTGAGTCGAAAGTACTACTGGGTTTGGTTGAATTCGTTTTGGTTTAACAATTACTCGAATAACAGAGGCGAATTTAGAATTTGAAGTTTTTATTAGAATTGAACTTACTGTACTTTTGCAATTATATGAGTTCGGGATCTGATATTTGTTGAAAATTTCAGTCATTATTTTTATATATATGGTCTGATGTCGAAAGTGAACTCGTTTTGCTTTAAAAACTACTTGAATATCAGAAGCAGATTTAGGATTTGAAGTTTTTATTAGAACTAAACTCACTCTACTTTTGAAATTACGAGTTCAGAATCTAATTGTTGTTGAAATGTTTGTGATATTTATATTGGTTTGAGTTGAAATTGAACTCGTTTTGGTTTAACAATTACTCGAATAACAGAGGCGGATCTAGGATTTAAAATTGAATTGATGTTCTAAAAACTGTTTTTTTGTTGTTTAGATGTTTTATATCAATATGTATTTGTAATTTGATCATTGTAATAGCTTTTTGCATGTTCCTACAACTACTATATAACATTAATCAGCCAGACTTGATGCATTTCTTTTAGTATGAAATGTCTTTTTATTTGTGGTTTCTAATTGTTATATTAGATCGTATTAACAAGAATTTTCCAAGATGGAGGAGACGGAGGAGAAGACTATCGAGTTGGAGGAAGGAATGGAGTGTGTTCAAAAGGGACTTAATAAGTTAAAGATAATCATAGAAGGAGAGCCGGAGTCATTCACCTCAGACGAGTATGTGATGCTCTACACGTATCCTTGGCATTCCTTGAGCTTAGAGTGCATGTTTTCTTTCTTAGTTAGTCTTTTTCGATTATCACTTCTGTTTGTCGAACAAGTTTCTCCTTAATTTGACGCATAGCACTATCTATAACATGTGTACTCAGAAAGCACCTCATGATTACTCTGAGCAACTGTACGATAAGTACAAAGAAGCAGTTGAAGATTACATCATTACTATTGTAAGAACATTTCGCTATCTCAATCTCATTGTTTTGTGATGCTGTTCGAAATAGTAACCAGTCTCCATTTGCTCCATTAGGTTTTGCCTTCTCTGAATAAGAAGCATGATGAATTCTTGTTGAAGGAGCTTGAGAAAAGATGGGCATCTCATAAACTTATGGTCAAATGGCTTTTAAAGTTTTTCCGTTATCTTGACAAGTTTTTTATCAAACGAGCTGAAGTCCCTGCACTTAATGAAGTTGGTTTGAGTTGCTTCCGGGATCTGGTTAGCTTTTGGAATGATTATTCTGCTGTTGAATTTTTCTTTCTATATTTGTCTTCTCTGAGTTACTATTATGATAAAGTCTCTTTATATCGTTGTGTTTGTTGATAATAGGTTTATCATGATGTGAAAGGTAGAGTTACAGATGCTGTCATAGCACTGGTAAGTGTTTCTTTTTTCATTTTTTTTCCTGCTAGACTCAATGTGTTGGAATTCTATCTGCTAGATATGAGGTTTAATGAAGTATCGTTTTGTATCAGATTGATCAGGAACGCGAGGGTGAGAAAATCGACAGAGTGTTACTGAAGAATGTGATAGATTTGTATATTGATATGGGAAAGGGAAGGATGGATTATTACGTTAATGATTTTGAAGAGGCAATGCTTCGAGATTCTGCCTGTCATTATTCTCGAAAAGCTTCAACCTGGATTGTTGAAGATTCTTGTCCAGAGTATATGCTAAAGGTACAAATGATTTTCACAACTCTTTCACCTCGAGAATTGCTCTTGTATTCCATTTTTATACTAGAATAGGTTCTAACGACCGTTCTTTGCTGACACAGGCGGAGGAGTGCTTGCAAAAGGAGAGGGATAGAGTGTCTCATTATCTTCACTCTAGCACTGAGACAAAACTTCTTGAGGTCAGTTTTGGAGTTTCACAACTATATCTGTGTTATGTCATGCGATAGCTAGTAGCATCTTCCATCTCGCCGTGACATATAGATACACATAAAGCCTGACAAGGTTCTCATTTACATATGAATGTGTTACGAAGACACACTGTTATATCTTGTACTATAACAACAACAACATACCCAAAGTAATCTCACAAAGTGGGGTCTAGGGAGGGTAGAGTGAACGCAGACCTTACCCCTAACTCAGAGAGAGGCCGTTTCCGATAGACCCTCAGCTCAAGGAAAAACAGTCCAAAGTAGTCCCAGAAAAAGAACAGGAGTACAAGAAATAACAGATAACAACAAAAACAACAGATAGTATCAAAATAGAAACTATAACGAAACAATATGAACAACATATAGTAACAAGATTGAAGGATAAGAAACTATAGGAGCAATAGTGCGACTAATAATATGAACGGACAGCAAGACTATGCGCTGGTACTATAACTGATGCTTGATAAAATTTCTATGTTCTCTAGAACCTAAAGAAGGGAAGAATGAAGGGGTTACTTTTGTGAAGTTTTGTCAGGTTATTGATGTTGTGTACTTGCTTGCATATGTGTCCCCCTTGGTAAGGGGAAGGATTTTGTTTTACAGAACCTTCTTTTTTGAATGTTCTTTATGCCCGGACAACCACGGTTATCGAAAAAATAAAAGAATGTTCTTTACTGTTGGGAGAGGGAAGAGCGAATGTGTCTTGTGTTTCGAGAAGTTGTACCTCTTTGTCAAGTATTAACTGTTCTATTACTTATGGAACCTTTTCTTTCTTGAACCAAACGCACAAATAATGCTTTAGTTTTTACTCAGAAAGAGTCAGTTGATTATATTTCTTTGGTTGGATTTATTTTTTTCAAAGCTGAGACCAACATTTTTTGCTGCAGAAAATGCAAAATCAGGTATTGATTACATATACCAATCAGTTGCTTGAGAAGGAGGATTCTGGATGCCGAGCTTTGCTTAAAGATGAGAAGGTATTAAACCCCCACCCCCCTTTTTCTTTTCTTTTTTTCTGTAGAACATTATGTGCTTAATTGTTTTTATGGATCTTACATTGTATTTGAAGCTGTTTTTGCTTTTTCTTATTCCTCCTTTCTCCCATCACAGGTTGAGGATTTAACTCGAATGTATAGTCTATTCCACAAAATTCCTAAAGGGATAGAACTAGTAGCAGAGATTTTTAAGCAGGTAGTTTAATCATCCATACCATATGATGAGCAACCAACACTTCAAGATTTTTCTTTTCTTCTTTTTGTTCCGATTTGGGATCGTGCAATTTCTGATGGTACATATTTGCAGCACGTTGCTGCTGAAGGCATGGTCGTGGTGCAACAGGCTGCAGATGTAGCAAATAACAAGGTTTGATATCTAATAACCGAAATTTGTGCTTTATTTGACAATGTTGTCTTGTATAAACTGTAACAAGACAAGGACAAGGTAGATATGTAGCAGCATCCCAATCTTAGAAAACTTTCAAAGCTCCCAAGAGACTAGAATCTGAGTGGAGTAAATAGCTTTTGCAAAATAAGTAACATATATCTGAAGTTGGTTTTGCGACTGGCTATGCTTATGGTTTCCAAGTAAATTTGTTTTGCATTGTAGTTTATTGGTGTTGTAATTTGTAAATGATGATATGTATGTTCTTCTACAGACCGAAAGCTCCGGTGGTTCACAGGAGCAGGTAAAATACTATCTCCTATATTGTGAATAGAGGTCCATTTTATGTAATGTTAGTTGGTTCAATGATGGACCCATCTCTTCCCTCAGGACTTTGTCAAGAAGGCATTTGAGCTGCATGACAAGTATATGGTGTATGTGAAAGGCTGTTTTGCTGATAACTCTATCTTTCACAAGGTATTCCTGCTGTTAACCATTGTGTGTTGATCCCTTTATGATGAATTACTTGAGACGTTATCTCTATTACTTGAGATGTTATTGTAAAGAAATGGATCTTGAGTCTAACTCTTGAGGGGAGGATTGTCTAACGTCCATGTAAGGAGTTAAAATTCTTCTCATCCCACCGA